AGGGTTTCCCTTCATGCCATATTTGGTTTCAGCCAGTTAAATCCAGAACAGAAATTGTCTTGTTTTTGTTTTGTTTTGTTTCCCACTGGGAAATCTAGGAGGTTATTACCCTGCCTCTAATTAACACATTAACATTTGCTTTGGAGGTCTTAGTTAATAACAGCAACTCATCAAGTGGGTCCCCCAGCTGCTGATTTGTTTTTTTCACACCAGATTTTTTACCTGAAATTTCCTTCCTGATCCTATGTGGGTTTGCCAGTTTTCCTTGGAGCTTTTCTTAAGAATTTCTTTGTGTTTTCTTTTGTTTAATAAATTAGAAAATCCTCCACTGGGACTTTCCATTCAGGTCCTACTCCAGGCACTGCCCATAAGTCCCATAAATGCTGATATAATTTTTTTTTTTTTTTAAATCCAAAAAGAAGCAGAGATTTATAAACATTCACATTTTGGTGCCTTTAATGGTATTTACTATGTACTTTTCCTTCACCAATGTCAGAGTACTATGTAGACTCCTTACATATGCAGTTGACTTCTCCATCTGAGATTGATTTAGGTGACTTAGAAAAAATAAATCCTCTTACAATGAAGGATGTTACTGTGTATTATGTGGAATATTTAGTATCTTGCCATTTTCTCCTTTTATTTCCCCCCCCCAAATCCCTATTTCATCAGCACAGTTTGAAATAGCCCTGCAGTTCAGATTTACCTGCTTGTTCTGGTTCCTTTAATGAATATTTACCATCCTGCAGGAAAGTGGAGGATGCCTGGCTGCAGCTGTGCTCCCAAACACCGGAAAGAACTCGCTCTCTTCAGAGCCATTACCCCCAGCTCTGTCACTTAATAGAAGGAAAGACAATACATGCTACACCATAATGAAATTTCCTACCTTTTTGTTTATACCAGGTTTAATAAGCCCTGCAAATTAAATGAGGTAATGGCATGGACTGCTCAAATAATACCAGTAGTATTAAACTAAATATCTTCCCTCCATATTAATCATTCCATAATAAATTATAGGGGACATTGTCTTTTCCGTCTACCAACAACCTCTGTGTAGACAGAGTGGGCAAGAAAATAATTTTAAATTTCCACACAAGTTCTCAAGAATTGGAAGAAAACACGGATCTTAGAAGACAAAGGAACAGGTCACAACTTATAAAAGTTTATCTGAGTAAAGATTTGGGCTAATTACCAGGGCTCTTCCTCACTTAATTGAGAAAAATAGGGGTAATCAGACAACAATTCGTTGGATTCTAGGAAGGCAGGTGGGAAGGAAGGAAGGAAGGAAGGAAGGAAGGAAGGAAGGAAGGAAGGAAGGAAGGAAGGAAGGAAGGA